CAGCAAATTTTAGAATTAAAGTACTATAACTTAAATTTTGATAATTAAAATGGTAACCAATTTTTAATCTAATATTTTTTTATGTGTGCTTATTTAATACAAATGGCCTATAGGTTGTGTAAATGGCAAAATATTTTTTCAATATTTCTATTGAGAAACTGAAAAATAATAGTTGTAAAATGTCGTGGTGGTACTATAGTTTTTCAATTTTTGTTTAGGTGGTACGCGTTAGTCAAAAGGTTGAGAATCGCTGGTTTAAGGTATTAATATTGACTCATGCTAAATGGTAGTGAAATGTTAAAGCTGGAGAGATTTTTTCTAAAAGGGGAATAAAAGTTTGAAAAAGTATATTAATGGGAGAAACAAACAAAAGCTATTTTAAGGTTCAATTTAAGGCATTAAACATGGATGATTAAATATATATATTTATTGTGACGTCTAGTATTTCTTGCTAGCATAAACTGCTAGTAGACGTACGCGAAAGTCCATTTAGCGAATTCTCGCTGAGATTAGAAGATGGATACGACCAAGGTCAGTTCACTGTACGGACCTTGGGATACGACATAGGAAGGGTGTAAAATACCCTTTTAACTGAACTCAGTATTTACAGACAGCACAATCTTTGTGCTTACAAATGCAATATTCATTTTTGGCGATAAAACTAATGGTAAACTAAACTAGAATTTAAAGATAAGCTAGCAGATCAAAAGACAGCATAAATTAATTTAAACTCAGCAACCTACCGGCGAGATAGCAACTTCAGCGGCAAAATGCGAAACTGTGATTCAGAATTCAAACAGCTGGTGAAACAACAGCTTGCGCTCTCAATAGCTAAACACGCTCTGATTAATCTTTTCGTTACTTAAGTTAAAATACACACTCCTTCACCCTAACTCATTTACATCTTGGCAAGGAAACGTGAGAGAAACAAAAACTGACAGAAAAGGATAACAAATTAAAATAACTATGAGTAAAATAATATAAACCTCACAATATAAACTATAAGCGAATGAAAGAATGATGCAAAAAGGACTTTTAAAGCAATATCCTGCGCAATTGCTGCTAAGCTTGACGAGAAATAATTATTTTATTAAGTTAAAATTAAACAGGAGAAAATGAACGTTGAAATTTAATCAAATTTATAAAAATTAAGTAAACTTAGAGGAATATATTACAGTAATATGGACTAAGTTAGAGGTAAAGATAAAAAAAATATCGTAACAAATAATAAATACAAGAAAGAAAAAGCTATATTATCTCTGATACAAACGCCTCAAGAAGTGGAAGACTGTAACAGCTATAATCTCTTTTTCTGATATAACCAGTTACGTTTTGGTGTGTGAATTTATATCAGTTGTGGACTTGGATCGAGGCAGTTTGGTAGGCCACCACATATAAAATGCAGTTTAGTTACGGCATCACACATTTGCTACATATGCAGTTTGCCAAGACATCCCATATAAGAAATTCTTATTCCCGTTCCTGGCATTTTCGCAAAATACTAATTTTGTGCCAGTAATCTAAGTGTATTGGTTTGAAAATATAATCGCTTATTTACATTTCGTCTCTAATACGTGGCATAAATCTCTTTTAATCTGATGATTCTTTCATAAAGGTGCGATTTACCCATAGATAGTGCTTAGTTTTTTTTTTTTTTTTTAATTTTTATTTTGCCTAGTTTCTAAATCCGTGTAAGCCTGAATCGTAAATTGAAGCACATGCTGTTGATGACTAAATTATTTGATTTGCTTTGCGTCATTTGGTAAAGATTTAGTATTTTTTAAAATTATTTAGTAATTTAACTACAGTGTGCAAAAATTGAATTTCATATTGCAGAGAAATTGTGATTCTTTACGTATCGGTTAAAATAAATTAGTATTAAATTTGCTTAATAAGAACTTATTTAGAGAATTCTAAAGAAATGGTACATACCATCATATTATTTAGTCACCGTGTAAGGATTTATATTTATTTTAAATAACCAATTTTATTTAATTTATTATCCTTTCCTATAAGACTTCATTCTTCTAATTGTCAATGCCAGAATATTTAAATTTGGTAGCGCGCGTGAAGGAATGCATATTCAACCTTGAAGAAAGGGTTTAAAAACTGGGGTTTAGTAGTAAAGAGAGGGAGAGAGTTAGGCTATTGCCGTCACCTATGTTGCGTAAGCGTCTGCTCCCAGAGTTATTGCTGGTTTGCGTGGCTTAACTGCATTTACATGCTGCCACTAGTTTTCGACCGGGGGGGGGTTAAGAAACAGAAATTATCTAAACCCTGTAAGTTAGTTCTACAACTTGTACATATCTTCAAATCATTAGTTAGTTTTTTGATTTCAGTTACCGCCCAAGCACAGGCGTAGTATGTTAGCGTCGCGTTGACGCATTGGTGCTGGTGTATTTAATTACGGCAATGCACACGAGGGCTATCTGCCTAAGGGAAGGGATGCTTTCGTGGAGGACTTTCTAAGGAAAACTGGCTCGTATACACGTTACACATGGGGAAAACCACGAAAACACCCATGCAACCAGCACGTTCGCGGGATTCGAACCTAGGACCGAACTACCAGTGTTCAGCGACTTTACCGCTCGGCCGCTGGTGGGCCGTTGACGCATTGTCAATTTTAAAGAGTTAATAAAGGGTATTTTTAACCCTTCTGTGCAGTTACTACTCTTACAGTTCTCACACAGGAGTTAATCAAGTGGACTCAACAACCTAAATTCTGGAGGACATCATATCATTCTTTGGTCACACTGAGTATTGCTCTTATACTATAAACTTGGTTCTGTAACAAGTGTTCCAAATTATATAATATAGTGGCTTAAAGTTTTACATTCTAATGCAAAGCTACTAAGTAATATCATTCAGTCCTTTTAAATTTCTCAGTCATATCTCTATAACATACTATATTTCGATTTAGGTAGTTTTAATGGATTTTTAAATTGGATATATGTGAACTAATGAGGAAAGAAAACTGTTTGTGAAATGTAACCATGTGTAAAACAGTTTTAAATAGATTATATAAGGAGTATGCTTAGTATCCTAATACCATTACTTCAATCTTATGATTGGAAACTTGTATATAAAATTGTGTCCTCTAAAGTCCTTAACCAAGTCTTATTTTTGTAACCGTCACTCGTAGACATAAATTTCCAGTTAATTACAAAATGTTTTGTATGATTATATATATGTTTTGGCATTTTTAAATTGGTAAAAAATCAGCTTCAAAAATTCAGAAAACCTAACTTTTTATACGTCCTGCGGTCCATATACTTATGTTTGGGGAAACGTTTAACTCATTATACAAAATGAAATACAAGTTTGACTCCGTATGGTAAAAATTGATCGGTATGTTTGATTTTAAAGTTTTAAATCATATTCAGAGACCGTAGACAAATTGAAGAGAGAAATACTTTTATTCAACTAAAAATAAAATGTCAGTTTAGTAAACGGTTCTGATATTAATAGAATGAGTAATGAGCATTTCCATGTAGAGTTTAATAAAATTTTTGTACGATTATTTTATAATGATTCCAAAAGAATGAAAAAAAAAACTTCATGAAAATATTAATATCACAAAGTCTATCATTGAGTGGTATTTAAGGAGGAAAAATCTACGTCGAATTATTCTAATTTATTTATTAACCAACACTTCTAGGCAAGTTAAAAATACGTCAAATTTTCCCAAATTTTAAAATTAAATGTCTGGGTCAATTTTTATCATACAATAGTAATTGTTTTTGTGCGTATGTTTTATTTTTCATAATAAGTATAAAACTTTCCTAAATATAAGCATGAGGACTGGAAGACCATATAAAAAATTAGATTTCGTAATTTTCGTAACACTGATTTTTTTTTTTTTTTTAATTTGAAAATGAATTCATAAATATTTGCATATTTGCAAAACATGAATAATTGCGCTAGGTAAAACAATTTTGTAATTGGAAGCACATGACTACGATCAATAAATAGCAGCGTAATAAAGATCAAAGGACTTTTGTGGATACGGTATAAGGTATTTCTCCCGCCTTCCTGGCGTGCCTTCGTGGTGTAGTGGTTCTGCACGCTGGGTCGGTATTGCAGAAATCCGTGGCTCGATTCCCGGCGAAGGCGTTTGCTCATTTTTCATCTTGCCTGCTTCCAAAAATACCTAATGTCTCTACAGTGGCGCCCGAACTAAAAAAAAAAGGTGTTGGATGATGATTTCTCCCCACCCAGGATTTGGCGATTGGGTTCCCTAAAAACCCCAGTCGACCTTCAAAAGGGGTTGTATATAAGGTATTTCTCCCACCTTCTTGGCGTGCTTTCGTGGTTGTGGTGGTCTGCACACTGGGCCGGTATTCCAGAGGTCCACGGTTCGATTCCCGGCGAAGGCTTTGTTAATTTTTTCTTTCCTGCTTCCAAAAAATACCTAATGTCTCTACAACGGTGTATAATTTAAATATCATACACCTGTGTAAACATTAGTTTTAGTGGATACTTTCAGTTCTAGTTACATTTGTTGAGTTTTATGTAAGTTTTCTTCTCGAGGATAAAAATATTTGTTGCTTTGAATAACGGCTTCAGAATATTCATAACACGATTCATTGATATTCTGAACTGTGGGTCTCATAATCTAGTATGTATGAAAATTAATCACTTACTAATATATGTTATTACACGATTATTACGGAACAATCTAATTATCTTATTTACAATCAGAAAAAAAACCAGAAGGCTATTTGTTTTTCACATTTTCAGTAGTAAGTTTGTAGAGACGTTAGGGTTATTTCGAAGCAGGAAAAATGAAAAATGAGCAATGCCCTCGCCGGGACTCGAACCACGGTCCTCTCGAATACGCGTCGAGCTTGCTGATCACTATTCCACGAAGGCATGCTAAGAAGGCAGGAGAAATATCTTATAAGTTTAATCTCACACCTCACTGTTTAATCTTCGTAAGTCTTTCAGTATGTTACTGTTTAACCGATTGTGAATGTTGCTATGTTAGAAATAAGCAGGTATGCTGGAAAGAGTTAAAATTTTATTTTCCAGTAGTTCAAGTGTTTTAAACACAGACTTACATCACTTACATTTACAATATATTTAAAGCAAGACTACAACAATAGACTCTTAAATCTAGCTTTTTTTTTTTTTTTTTTATATTATAAATACTAATGCAATTTTAACAAAAATGACCAAAAATGAATAAGCAACATTCCTGAGATCAATAACAGCCCTAATGCACAAACACACATTAAGCATCACGAAACAGCATCATTAAACATCACGAAACAGCTGCTTGAACAACAAGTATGGGCATATATAACTTAAATTTTAGTTTTCAGGGAATGCTCTTAAGAAGCAGTCGTGTAAATTAACATTATGGATGTGATAAGTTGGTGGATGTCTTCTGACAGCTTTAGTTGTCTGTCGTCCTTCACAGTGCCTATACAAACGGACCCCTCCGTATACTGGTAAGGCGAAAAGGGAAATCCCTACTGCCAGGGCTCCAGCACATAATGCAAGCACTCCCAGAACTGGAGCTGCGACCAGTTTTCCACCTAAATATGCATAGAAAAGAGAAAATATTTTACATTTTTGTTTCTATGTAAAGATAAAATGCCAAAACATGAATAGTTACGTTACTTAAATTAATTTAACAATTTTCCACTGCCACTCACTCCATTCATACATACATGCGTGTGGGTTCACACTTATGAAAAATCCATACATACACATAAATATACTTACTACCCACACACATTCTAGATGACAGTAAAAAATACATACATGCAAATATACTACGCACGCATATTCTAGATTAGTGGTGTCCAAAGTGGGGTACGAAATGATACGTGGCCGTACGCCAAAAAAGTAGGGTCATGCTTACTTACGAGTGTATGATCGTGTATCGTGTATCACGTGAATGGAAGCTTCTCTCATTAATCGCTGCGTCTGGTTTCACTAGCGTCTGTGATGCTCAACATCATAACTACATGAACTTTAAAGCACATGCATATTATATTACATTGCATTACATAACATTACAGTATATTGCTTTACATAAGGTGTTTATAAGTGAATTGTGCGGTTAAAAATTAATAATAAATCGACATATACCCGCGTAAAACCTATACCGTAAGCAATGGTAACTGTCCAAGTTCCTCACCTGCTGTTTGCTTGTCATGCTTACTGCGCAGCCGTAGCGTCAGTTTCCAAGACGGCACCGCAAGAAGAAAAGGCTTACTTTGTGCTCCGTTTTGAGGTGTCTAGATCTGTGGTTTGAGTGCAGCGTGAATTTCGTGCACATTTTCTGTACGGTGTCTCGCGATAAAGTGCACGGTCCATTTTTCTTCGAACAAGAATTACATTTATTCAATTACAATACCTGTTATGGTGATACACGGACCAGACCAAAATGTCGCGAAATGTTCGCCAAGTTTGGCGACTTTTGGTGATTTTTCGTCAAATTTTGGCGACAAAATTAGTCAAACGAAAATGTTGCCAGCTTGGCCCATATCGCCCCAAATTACCGAGATACTCATTATTCAATGTTAAATTGCCCTGTATGTAATTGCCTTTGTATTCTTACTTTTCCGGCATAGCTTGTTTCTCTTAGATATTATGTTACATTATAAAAAAGAAATACAGCAATTTCATATACAATTGCACTAAAATCATCTATCTATGTAATCATTGATCCGAAAACCAAGAGTGATGGTCTGGGGTGCCATTTCATTTCATAGTAGGACCCCTTTGGTTGTCATCCGTCGCAACCTCACAGCACAGCGGTACGTCGACGAAGTTCTAAGGCCCGTTGTGTTGCTCTTTATATCACACCACCCTGGGCTTACATTCCAGCAAGATAATGTCCGCCCCCACTCTGCACTGCACATGTTTCTACTGCTTGCCTTAGTGCTTGCTGAACATTACGTTGGTCAGCAAGGTCGCCGAATCTCTCTCCTATTGAGCACGTTTGGAGCATTTTGGGAAGGGCCCTCCAACCAGCTCGGGATGTTGACGATCTAACGCGCCAGTTGGACATAATTTGGCACGATATCCCTCAGGACATCCGCAACCTCTGTCAATCGATGCCAAGCCGAATAATTGCTTGCATAAGGGCCAGAGATGGACAAACGCGTTACTGACTTTTTCACTTTGTGAAGCTCATTTTTCACTTTGTGCGATCACAATAAAAATGTTGCAGTTTTCAATAAACCATCCGATTTTTCTCAAACTGTAATCATTTGTTTTTCTGTACATGTACATCACTTCTACCGATTTTCGTCCCATATGGATAACACATTCTTGGTGCATCTTTTTTTTTTTTTTTTTCCCTAAGAGTGTACGTTGCCAAACTTGTAGTTCAAAGAAAAGGAGAGCATATAATACATATGCATTTCAATTTTTTTCCTTATACAATCCATATAGAAAATGTTATTGCGGAAACATGATTTACAAACGATGATTGCGGTAAAATGATAAATCGGAAAATGATGGATGATTTACGAACGATGATGATTACGAACATGATTTACGAACGATGATGTGATTAGTGACTCATTTCTAGACATGTTGGAAACCTGGCTGTTAACCCTAGCTGAACCCAATTATGATGATTACATTTTGCAACTGGAGGGTGCTCCACCTCATTTTTTTTTTTTTTTTTTTTTTTTTTCCCCATAGGAATGTACGACAGCTTCTCAATAGTGTTCTTCACTAACGCTAGATTGGACATGCTGCCATAGCAGACAACAATTTTCTCCCTTGGCCACCCCGTCCCCTGGATTTAACTCCATATGATTTCTTTGTTTGGGGCTTTGTTAAAGACCGAGTTTATGTGCCGCCAATGTCCGTGTCCCTTGAGGAAGTTCGTGGTCGGATAAAGCATGCACTGCAGACCGTCACGGAGATATGCTACACCGAGTACGGGAAGAATTTGATTACCGTACACATGGTGTGTCGCGTGACCAAGTGTGCACATAATGAAGGATTGAGATGAATGCATTAAAAACTTGGACAGTTGCCGTTACTTATGCCGCAAGGCAGGGGTTCTCAACCTTTCTGTCCCTAAGAGCGCATTCTAGAATATTTGTTGGACTGTGGACACCATTTACTTTTTCAAGGTAAATTTATAGTTGGATAGAATTAATAAATACATGTAAGATAAAAAATATCAAAGCAAACCTTCTAAATTTAATTCACTATAACCTCTTTTATTTTCTATTTCATTTGGGAACTTTATCTATCTGTTCTAAAAATAGCTCTTTAGTCTAAACTGCGTCATTCAAATTAATCATGCGATCTTACGTAACCCTTAACGCAGATGCCTCTTGACCAAAACCAAAAACTGACTCTCTCCCTTTCTATGAACTGCTTTTGCTTGTGCTTTGCTCTTGGCCAGATGTCTTTCTGCAATTATGTGTGTGCTGCTACTTTCGCTTCTATGGGAATAATATCAAAATTTAAAATGTTTTTTAATAGCACGAGTAGAATGCCAAGTGAATTGTAACCACAAGTGAATTAAAATAAATAAAAGGAATTTAATCCGGCTCGATTGCTTATTCTTCAAAATGGATGGACGCTCTAAGCTTCAAGTATCTACGCATCTACGTCTCAGTGTTCTTATTTCAGTGCCTCTAAAAGTGTTCTGTCATTACATTCTTACCAGTTCTAATTATGAAGAAATCTACATGGGTTTGTTATTCTGTTCACAGTGAATCATGGGAAGAGTCCTGTTTCACTGAAAATTTTAATGCAAGTTTGTGCCGCATTCATAATCAAATCTTTCATGTCTTGTCATCCAACCACAGTTTCATTACATACACACACATAAAAAAAGAGATTGGTCGCATTTCGCTTTGTGCTGATATTTGCGTTAGACGCAATTTTTATTTCATTAAAAAATAAGAAAACTTTCACATAGAATTTTATTGAAAACTACAACATTTTTATTGTGATCGGACACGTTAAATGATCGCCGGGCATAGAGTTGAGAACCCCTGCTATAAGATTTGCCTTTGCCTATCTAAAGTAATACATTGATTTATTAATGATTTTTAAACCCGCATCATTCATTTATAAACACTCTATATTAAATTACTTTATATTATATAGGGTACAACTTATTTTCATCTTAAGGATACGCGATGAAAAATGTTTGGAGATCGCTGTGCTAGATTACAATAAAAACACGAAATATATATACCTACATATAAATATACTAAACACATTCTAGACAACAGTAAAAAATTAAACATACAATACGTACACATAAATATATTAGGCACACACATTCTAGATTACCAGTTAAAAAAAAAAAAAAAAAAAAGGACTCAATCTACTGTTCCCATTCCCGTGACGGTCGTTTATCCGTTGTATCATTCGTTATTTCTGGTCCCAAATGAAGTTCTATAAAAGAAACATTATTTATTTACTCATCCATCATTTTCCGATTTATCATTTTACCGCAATCATCGTTCGTAAATCATGTTTCCGCAATAACATTTTCTATATGGATTGTATAAGGAAAAAAATTGAAATGCGTATGTATCTTATATGCTCTCCTTTTCTTTGAACTACAAGTTTGGCAACGTACAGTCTTAGGGAAAAAAAAAAAAAAAAGAGATGCACTAAGAATGTGTTATCCGAATGGGACGAAAATCGGTAGAAGTGATGTACATATACAGAAAAACAAATGATTGCACAGTTTGAGAAAAATCGGATGGTTTATTGAAAACTGCAACATTTTTATTGTGATCGCACAAAGTGAAAAATGAGCTTCACAAAGTGGAAAAAGTCAGTAACGCGTTTGTCCATCTCTGGCCCTTATGCAAGCAATTATTCGGCTTGGCATCAATTGACAGAGGTTGGGGATGTCCTGAGGGATATCGTGCCAAATTATGTCCAACTGGCGCGTTAGATCATCAACATCCCGAGCTGGTTGGAGGGCCCTTCCCAAAATGCTCCAAACGTGCTCAATAGGAGGGAGATCCGGCGACCTTGCTGACCAACGTAATGTTCAGCAAGCACTAAGGCAAGCAGTAGAAACATGTGCAGTGCAGAGTGGGGGCGGACATTATCTTGCTGGAATGTAAGCCCAGGGTGGTGTGACATAAAGAGCAAAACAACGGGCCTTAGAACTTCGTCGACGTACCGCTGTGCTGTGAGGTTGCGACGGATGACAACCAAAGGGGTCCTACTATGAAATGAAATGGCACCCCAGACCATCACTCTTGGTTGTCGGATAGATGATTACATAGATAGATGATTTTAGTGCAATTGTATATGAAATTGCTGTATTTCTTTTTTATAATGTAACATAATATCTAAGAGAAACAAGCTATGCCGGAAAAGTAAGAATACAAAGGCAATTACATACAGGGCAATTTAACATTGAATAAATGAGTATCTCGGTAATTTGGGGCGATATGGGCCAAGCTGGCAACATTTTCGTTGACTAATTTTTGTCGCCAAATTTGACGAAAAATCACCAAAAGTCGCCAAACTTGGCGAACATTTCGCGACATTTTGGTCTGGTCCGTGTATCACCATAACAGGT